CACAAGTGTTCCCATTGATAAATGCTTAGAATTCATTAAGGGTTTACTTGAGAACGACAATACTCTTCCTGACAGATGTCCGTTGAGCATCAGTCTAATCATGAAATCATTAAAACTTTGCTTAAATTCAACGCTATTTACTTTTAACGGTATTTTATTCAAACAAACTAACGGAGTAGCAATGGGATCCCCCGTGTCCCCGATTGTAGCCAACCTTTTTATGGCATACATAGAATCAAATATCTTCGCCCACAACATTATACCACGAATTTGGCTTAGATATGTAGACGATACATTTGTGGTTATAAAAAAGACTCATCTAAGATCTTTTTCAAAACGAATTAATACACTCTCATCGCAAATCAAATTCACCAATGAAAATGAAAATGCTCATGGTGAGCTACCATTCTTGGATTGCTTAGTAAAAAGAAATCCAAATGGAAGTCTAAACTTATCCATTTACCGAAAGCCGACGCATTCAAATCGTTATATTGACTTCCATTCAGCACATCCTTTCAGTGCTAAGATCTCGCTAGCCTTAAATCTTTTTAGAAGAGCTAACAAGATCATCACATCAGAGGAAGACAAACGAAAAGAACAAATGAATATAATTAGTACCTTACAATTTAATAATTTTCCTATGAAGATTATTAGAAGCATATTAAAACAAAACAATTTATTACATTATAATAATGTTTCGAATGAAATGCCATGGATTGGTACTGTAGTTCTACCATACCGTCATGGCACAACAGAAGAAATTCAAAGAATCTTAAAACACCACAGAATTAAAGTGTATTACAAAACAACGAACACACTACGTAATACTTTAGTTCGCCTGAAAGAAAAAATCCCTTTCATGTCCACACAGAACTGCGTCTACAAATTAGGTTGTATCGATTGTGATGCCTATTATATTGGAGAGTCATCCCGCGAAATCGTGACTAGAGCCAAAGAACATATTAGGTACACAAAGAAACCTCCTAACAATCCGGTAGAATTGAACCAACTTCAAATTAAATCGGCAATAGCAGTTCATGCCATTTTCAACAACCACCAAATCGATATTAAAAATATCAAAATATTGCAAAAAGGCTTTTCCAACTACAAAGAAAGGAGGGTAGCTGAGGCGTTCCACATAATGCTTAATCCTACTTCTCTCAATAGAAAAGAAGGCCTTACCATACACCCTACTTGGACCATCTATCCTAACCATTCAGTCTGATCGTATTTACAATTTCACAAATTTAAACTCTATCCTTTCTTACCATAAAGGTCACATAAGTTTTCATTCTTAAACAATGCACATATACATACACACACAAATTTACATACTTATCACTTATGAATCACCTTGACAGAAATGACATGACATCAACTTGTTCAGACCTGTTTTTTGATTGATCAAATATTATTCTTGCATTGTTCCGTTGTACTATTTAAACTTGGATTAATTTTAATTTGGTTATTTATTCTCTGAAGAAGTGACTTACACTAAGCCACGAAACGTCAGAAAATCCAATTTTCTACTCATTGGGATATTACAAATATATTATTTTTATTTATAACAATCAACCCAATGCTCAATTTATTCGAAATTATCAAATCAAACCTTGGTAATGACACCTACAAACTCATTAATAACCGGATCAAATTATCCAAGTGTAAATGCAATTGGTACAATCACAGAATATTTAATAAACGATGTCTACAAGACAACATCATCCCTAAATCTCTTGTTATAAAACCTCCAGAACGATCCTGGAGATCTATCCAGACTTCTCAACACGCGTCTCGAATATTCTTACGAGAACGCATTCACAAATGCACACACTTACTAGAAAAATATCGTGAACGAATCAAAAACCTTGATGATTTACTGAAGCTTTTAATCCCGATCGAATTACAAACCACGATATCCAACCTGTTTATAGAAAGAGAACTCCACTATTTAAATTCCTCGAAACACCGACAAATTAAAAAATTCGAAAACATCAAAGAAAAGAAGAAAGATAAGAAAACATCAACAATAAAATACAATTTGAATAATCTAAGAACAGTTCATAATCTCTCCAACAGAAACTTAAACAGTCACGAAATCACTCTACTGGAGAAGGGATTAAACTTCAATTTACACAGAAAACCACTTAGCACTCTTGAAATCGCTCCGATTATAGAACCTATGATCGCACAACTACCGGAAAAAGAGTCGCATTTACTACGTCAAAAGACATCCCATATTCTGACGAAACAAAAACACATTACCCCAAACATTTCAAAAGAAGAATTGAAGGCTCTGAATTCACTTAAAAAAGATAAAACAATTATCATCACTAAAGCCGACAAAGGCAACACAACAGTAATCATGAATAAAACAGATTATATTAATAAAGCTCTTGAACATCTCTCAACAGGACCTTATGAAAAGATCAATCCAAAAACTTCTCTAACGATTAAGAATAAAGTCAAATTAGAAACAAATCAACTTCTGAACGAGCTAAAACCAATCATTGGGGTTCCGCTTTGGTTTGCTTTGCATCCCAAATCATGTAATGTCTCACGGTTTTATGGCTTACCAAAAATTCATAAACCAGATATTCCTTTAAGACCAATAGTAGACTTCACAAACACCCCAACATATGCACTATCGAAATATTTAAGCAATATATTAAAACCATTACAACTCAACCTACATAATATAATTAAAGACACATATGACTTTAAATCAAAATTATCCGGATTAATCATCAAGAAGAATGAAATCATGGTAAGCTTTGATGTCGTTTCTTTATACACAAGTGTTCCCATTGATAAATGCTTAGAATTCATTAAGGGTTTACTTGAGAACGACAATACTCTTCCTGACAGATGTCCGTTGAGCATCAGTCTAATCATGAAATCATTAAAACTTTGCTTAAATTCAACGCTATTTACTTTTAACGGTATTTTATTCAAACAAACTAACGGAGTAGCAATGGGATCCCCCGTGTCCCCGATTGTAGCCAACCTTTTTATGGCATACATAGAATCAAATATCTTCGCCCACAACATTATACCACGAATTTGGCTTAGATATGTAGACGATACATTTGTGGTTATAAAAAAGACTCATCTAAGATCTTTTTCAAAACGAATTAATACACTCTCATCGCAAATCAAATTCACCAATGAAAATGAAAATGCTCATGGTGAGCTACCATTCTTGGATTGCTTAGTAAAAAGAAATCCAAATGGAAGTCTAAACTTATCCATTTACCGAAAGCCGACGCATTCAAATCGTTATATTGACTTCCATTCAGCACATCCTTTCAGTGCTAAGATCTCGCTAGCCTTAAATCTTTTTAGAAGAGCTAACAAGATCATCACATCAGAGGAAGACAAACGAAAAGAACAAATGAATATAATTAGTACCTTACAATTTAATAATTTTCCTATGAAGATTATTAGAAGCATATTAAAACAAAACAATTTATTACATTATAATAATGTTTCGAATGAAATGCCATGGATTGGTACTGTAGTTCTACCATACCGTCATGGCACAACAGAAGAAATTCAAAGAATCTTAAAACACCACAGAATTAAAGTGTATTACAAAACAACGAACACACTACGTAATACTTTAGTTCGCCTGAAAGAAAAAATCCCTTTCATGTCCACACAGAACTGCGTCTACAAATTAGGTTGTATCGATTGTGATGCCTATTATATTGGAGAGTCATCCCGCGAAATCGTGACTAGAGCCAAAGAACATATTAGGTACACAAAGAAACCTCCTAACAATCCGGTAGAATTGAACCAACTTCAAATTAAATCGGCAATAGCAGTTCATGCCATTTTCAACAACCACCAAATCGATATTAAAAATATCAAAATATTGCAAAAAGGCTTTTCCAACTACAAAGAAAGGAGGGTAGCTGAGGCGTTCCACATAATGCTTAATCCTACTTCTCTCAATAGAAAAGAAGGCCTTACCATACACCCTACTTGGACCATCTATCCTAACCATTCAGTCTGATCGTATTTACAATTTCACAAATTTAAACTCTATCCTTTCTTACCATAAAGGTCACATAAGTTTTCATTCTTAAACAATGCACATATACATACACACACAAATTTACATACTTATCACTTATGAATCACCTTGACAGAAATGACATGACATCAACTTGTTCAGACCTGTTTTTTGATTGATCAAATATTATTCTTGCATTGTTCCGTTGTACTATTTAAACTTGGATTAATTTTAATTTGGTTATTTATTCTCTGAAGAAGTGACTTACACTAAGCCACGAAACGTCAGAAAATCCAATTTTCTACTCATTGGGATATTACAAATATATTATTTTTATTTATAGGTAAGTAAATTGTTTCATACTCATATGAAGTCCTCGAAAAAACTTTTCGCTTGTCACATACACGAAAACTAAGTATTTAGGGGCTTACAGCTCATAGCTTGAGTCTACACTACTACTACTACTACTACTACTACTACTACTACTAATAATAATAATAATAATAATAATAATAATAATAATAATAATAATAATAATAATAATAATAACAATAATAGTGTTGATGCAGCTATTTGATCGACAGATGACTCATCTATGGGGGATTCAATTGACTTCTGTTTTTGTAACTGAACTGAGCCATTTAACATTTATGCAATAGAAATTATTTTAGTTACTTGACATTATGAGGACTTATTGAGAACTGGATCATTGATAACTATATTTTACTTTACGGGGCAATAAATTGACATTTGAAAAAATCATGGACATCACATTCTTTGCCCAAACTTGACTATATTTGTGTAGTCACATTAAAAATTAGGTTTCTTATTTTCTGTTTCTTTTTCTTATAGGTTATTAAAAGTATGTATGTCTGAGGTTTGTGTGCACTAAGTAATCTTGTATTTACACATTTTCATATTGCAGTTGGTTAATAAACACTTTATTGACATTTTGTTTTCATTTTTTTATAAAAAATTTCAGTGAAAAATCTGCAGTAGAATCTGATTATGTCTCTATGACCAAAGATTCTCAACGCCGAGCATCAGAAGCCACTGCAAAACAGCGTACAATTGATACCCTTAATCATACAATTCGTAATCTAGCTAATCAACGTGTGGAAGCCGAACGTCGACTAGGCGATTATAGTCGTGAAAAAGATACGTTAGAAAATGTGCTTAATGAAATCAAAAGTCATGTCGTGAATGAACGTCAAAAAGTTGAAGAAATGCGTATTAAAATCAATTGTCAACAAGCCTCAACGAAAGTATGTTTTTTAATTTGTGATGTTTTAGAACGTTTTATTTTGTCTTATCACTCCTAAATTCCGTTCATTATTTTTATAAACTTTCAACTAGTTTATAAATTCTGATGAATATCTATACTGCATGGTTGTTCTATTTAAAAGCTGCCATTCTTCTATCGCACTGTCGTGTTCTCGCTTATGGCACAGCACAGTATGTTGTAAATGAGTGATTTATACTACAAATAGATAATATTGGAAACGGTATGTACTTCTCTCATGATTAATCAGTTTGTTTTTGAAGTTATGTTCTATACTACTTGCGAACGAGATTTCTAAATAACACCATTCAACCCAAAAAGTGCTACTCATTGTCGACCGTCTGATGAGTTGTTTTAATGCCAGTCATTATTAAGTATCTACAATACGATTAGCTGCTTTTAAAAAAGACATCATGGATTCGTGAGCAGGTGATGACACTAAATGAATCTAAATAAGTGTGTAATTGATTCCTAATTTGATTTCATCCGTATTTGTTACGGAAATTAATCAAAGTAGACTTGTTATCCAGTTGTTCGGAGCTTACTCTGTGAGATTGTTTCTTAAGACATCGGCTCAACGGTGCCCTTGTAGCAAGTCGAGTAACACTTTTGGATATGACTACTGCGCACGTATTCTATTGCTTTAGTAATGCATGCTTTGAAATTATAATTGGTTCACTGTTATTCATAGGCGATGCTGGAAGTATTGTAGAAATCAATGAAACAGTTAAGCGAAACAAGAAAATATGAGGAAGGGAGCAAGTTGAAAGTAGGATGTATTAGCAGTATTTTGTGTGATCAGTTGGTTATATATATATATATATATAGTCTACATAAAAGGTATTGTAAAGAAATCAAAAAGCCGAAAATTTTCTGCTTATCTTTATAGTCAGCAAATATCTTCTGTCGTGGATGTCCGTGGATATAGTTGATTGAAAAGCTTATAAGTGAGTCGGGAGATCTGGAAACATTCGGAAAGTTGTTGTTCATAAATGGTATTTCATCAATTCTCTATGGGCAGTTAGCATCAATAACATCGAAAGAAAGCGGAGACAGTTGGTAACTTATGTACACTCGTATAAAATTTTACTAGGGAAAATGATTTATAGTCATATTGATCAACTTCTGTTACATAAACCAAATGTTTTAAGGTAGCAACATGTATTTAGATGTGATATGCACTATGTAAGAACACATTCAATCGGACTTCGGCACAACTGACTTAGTATTTCCACTGGTGACGGTCGAATGCGTCTTGATACTTGAATATTCTGTGTCCTAGTATATTATTTAGTATTATTTACATTCATCTTTTACAATTTTAGAGTCAAAAAGAAGAAATAGCTTGTTTACGTAATGAGTTGAATGAATTAATACGAGAGGAAGCGATGTTACAAGACAAAATAATTGAAAACCAACGCCGTTTAGAACAAATTGAAAAGGAAAACCGTTTAGCCCAGTCTCGCGTAGATCAAGTAAGTCATATTGTTGCATCTGACTTTTTTTGTGTTTCAGTTAGGTAATGAAAAAAACTGTGTATATTGTCTACTCTGTTTGATTGACACGTTCTATACATTTGTTGCAAACGAACCATCTCTTTGCTTTTATCAATTCTATAAGTGTTAGCAAGTAGAAGTTAGTGGTTTGTCCAAGTCACAAGAGCTGGCGTCTTAATACTATTAAACCTGTTAGGCACACATTACTAAACCTCATGATTACCAGCATGATGCTGCTACTAAATGTCAGTCTTACATTAAACTTGTTTATCAGTATACTTGCTTGATTTTTTCGTTTAAATTTTACTGACTTATTGTTAGCGATAGTTTTTGTTTTCTAATTCTTAGGCTAACATTAAACTTGAAACATTAGAATCTACTCGTGGTCAATTGTTAGAAGTGCTTGAACAATATAACGGTCTATTAAATGGTGATGAAAATATCAAAGAACCAGATGAGGCAAGGGTTAAGTCTCTGGTTAGTTGACCAATTAATTAATGATTTTGATTATTTTATGTTTTCGTTTAATAAATTCATAATTCTAGCATAAATTAATATTCTACGCTTTTAGTTAATCTAAGTTTGCGTAATTGTTGAAAAATTCCCATCATATTGAAGCACAGATATATGTACGAAGAATATTCTTTGTAATAAATTCTGTTCAGGTTTTACAGTTATATATCCAAATTATTAATCGAAAAACTAAGTTTACATGCTACGATTTATTTCACCTTAAAACTCGACACTTTTTAGATTATTAATTTAGATATATAGTTGTAAAACGTGATAAGAATTTATTAGAAAAAATTCTTCGTTCATATATATCTGTGTTTTCGCCTAATTGAACGATTGTTTACCCGTTCTCATTGCTCACATCGTCTTTACTTATTTGTTCACCGTTAGCTTACATTTTATAGAATATTTAAACTACTGTTTCAAAATGCTTTATCTTTGTATGGTTCTTTTGATTTTTGAATCCAAAGTATTCAAGGTTATCTTGTTGAGTATACTTTTTCGGCATTAGTATGACTATCATCAGCAATGAGTTGTAATTATACTGAATTGAATTCGCTCTCCTAAAGTCATTTCGTTATTTAAATTATTTTGGATCTGTTTATTATTAAATTATTTCCAACGTATCAGTTCTTTAAACTAGTGGGGTTCAAAACATATATTTATATTTTGCACAAACTCTTTTGGTTTTTACAACAAAAATCCTCTACTTGTATTTAAATTGATTGTGTATCACTTTAAGGTTATCGATTATTAATCTGAATCTCATTGAGTAAATCCAGACTCGGATCTAACCAACTCAATGATCGTGATTAATGTATGGAGATCTATGTTAGTGAGTGACATTGTTCGGAATTGATCAGTACATTTCTGAAATTTGTTTTTTCTTTATCTTCCTTTTTGAATTTCGGTTTTAAACTTATCTGGTACGTTTATTTGTCATATTTACTCATTTTTGAACCATATTTCTTATGCTTATTCTATCGTACTATTAACAATATTGTTATTACTACGATTACTATGCTATGCACCTTGTTAAGTTTATCTCATCATTATAATATGATAATGACAACCTAGGTTGATATATATTAGTGTCATGTTCTACACTGACTGGCTAACTATATGCAAATTACATTTGGGCTTTCATTCTTTTTAGCTTTCTGACGAGAGTGCAAAAGATAGTTTCAGAAGTTTCGATACAGGTCTTGATGGTATAAATTGGCCAAATAATAATAATGCGCCTTCTTTTACTACTGGTATATCAACTTTCTCAGCATTTGATATGGCACGAAGCCAAACTGGTGCTCACTCTGTACCACTTCCATTAATGTCAATGAATACTGTATCGGGTGGTGATTGGAAGACGAATGAAAGAGGTCTTCTAAATTCTTCACTTGGATTTCCATTTCCTTACGATCCTTTTGATAGTAATGATCCTTTCAAATCTTCTAAAGCCAATGAGTTTCATAAAGGTGAGTTATATATACCAATCGATCACTAAAAGAGCAACCGATAGTGTTTTCATTGTCTTAAATTCCAGGTACAGATGATAGTAATGTATTAAACCGGGTTTTAATGTATGTAGTCATGGCTAATGAATGTAAATAATGAATGAATGGAACACATTGTGGACGATGTGTTTTATTCGGCATCATACTTCGAGGGAGATTTTTATTTCTGCTCCTTTCATAATTTTTCACGTACAGTTACACATAGTCACTGTTTACTTAAATGTACAATTTTGTACGTAACACTAGACAAGTAGCTGTAAATTATTCACTGTCTAATTCAAAAGTTTAAAAAGTGAATCCACTAATTACAATTTGTTCAACACTGATGTTTACTCATCGTTAGAACTAAAACATAGATCTTGACTAAATTTTGGATGCTTGTTGTGTCTCCCAGTATATATTTGTTCCAGTCATTGATTTTATTGTTACAATTCAATATCACTTATTTTCAGATTGGTGGTGAAATAAAAGCTAATTGGAAGCCAAGGTTATATATATATATATATATATATATATATATATATATATCATTTATGCATTTGTACTACCTCTATATGTGTGTGTAACTATTGTCTATGAATGTCAGAGTGGCCATGGCTTATGTGATAATTTTTTCTATCCAACCGATTGAGTCAATTAGAAATTCCAATGTAAACAAACTATAATTTATGTTAATTTACTAATGTTTTACAATTATCTCTTATCAGCTAAATTATTAAGATATTTGATAACTCGTTATACATACAGGTGTGAGTATGTATGTGTTCATTCGTGCATGTTAGTTGCATTGTTGAACTGGTCGTATTTTCTGCTAAACAACCTGAGAATTTACTTGTTTCTTTAATGAACTATTTAATTCAATATTTTATTTCGTTATAATACTAGCAAGACTGTCTTAGTGATTAAGACGTTCAACTTTCAGTCGCTCAGTTGCAGATTCAAGCACTGCTCGATCCACATGGGTTTTAGGAAACCGTGTAGTATCATTAGACCACAAAGCCAAATGCATCAATCTGTATTTGGTGATTGTTATTACTTTTTTTCTTTGTAGTGAAAAGTTCCTATCGGTTATAAATCTCACAATATCTTGATATCAGTGTTTTGTTTTCATGAGTTATCACTTGGCGAACTACTCTGCCGTATTAGTCTATTACGATCGCACTATTTTTGAACACAGTTTCTCACTGACTCACTTCCATTAGATGTAGGAATTTTAATCAATCTTAATTAGAAAATGAAATTCCGTTAGACGTGATCCACTCGTCGGCAGTAATCTATAGATAGGTAACAAAAATGATAATGATGAAAATGTATGACATCCGATCAAGATTTCGTTTATTTTGTGTTGATAATAACTCTGAGGTTTTGCTTACCTAAAGCGATCCAGCGGTTTGAATTTTATCTCGAGAAAAATTATTATCATTTATTGCTTATTGAATAATAAACCTTTTCAAATTATTTATTAACATTGACATCAGTTGTGAACTGAAAAAGTCATCTATTAACTTATGCTTGTTTTCACTTGTCATCAACTTCCCACAACGAATGTAAGGGGTTAGAAAAAATTGGCCATAAATATACCACATCTCACTTTATCCCACAAATTTCCATCTAAGGCGGTGAAGCTTTAGAAGTACAGAGATAATTCGTCTAAAACTACTCATTTGCCCTCATACTTCTAATATCACTCGAGATTACGACTGAATGTTACTAGATATTAATATTAACTTTTATAACTGTTTCAACATTTATCTCGAATGCATTTTTCTCTTGCAAACCAAATTGTCTACCACTTATAGAAAATTTCTGATTCGTTCGGGAAAATTATTGCTACTGTTAGTGTTGTTTCAAAAGAAGAAGAAAGAAGCATAAATATTAATGCACGCAGTTGTAGAAATCGCAACATTATCAAAATCCTCCTTTTAAGTCACAAATTTTCCACATTATCTTAGTAATAAGCAATTTTATGAAAAATTAAAAGAAAAGAAAATAGAAATTTAACTTTGCATTAAGTGTATCGTTAATTCTGTGATATTCTGTGCTTTGTTGCTGTTTACTTTATAAACAGTAGTTAAGTGGATAACTCGTTTGCGTTTGAAGCGAACGGTACTGTGTTCGAGCCCCGAAGTGAATACCAACTCAGGGATGCATGTACATCCACCCGACGGGTCCCAAATAGGACAAAACGCGCATCTCGACCTCCACTGCTAGCTACTATCCATCTTTGCTTGTAATGCTTGTGACTGAAGGCAATATCACGACAATGCGCACAGTATGCTTATATGCCAATCAAAGACTGATCAATTGCAGTCCTAAACATCAATGGGAAGGTTTAAACAATCAATACAACAATGAATTTATATAAATTTGTTTAAATATCTAGCAAAATTGATTCCTTTTGGGAACATAATTTTTCTTATTTTTATTTCATCTATTTTATATGATAACAGAATCTGTTGAGGATCCATTTGCTTTGTCAAGTACAAATGATCCATTCAAGGATTCCGATCCATTCGGTTTAGATCCATTTGGTTTATCATATTTAGTAAGTGAATTTTCAAATACTATTTCGGTCAGTGTAATTTTATCAACATTTTTTTTCTTTGTAATAGTGCTTTTACTTTTCCCATACAAACTGATAATCATGTAATTATCCGTTTACATATTGAAGATGATAACGAATACATGGGTTTATATTTGTACACATTTATTTTATAAATTATCATCCCTGTACAGTATATATTGTATATGTTTAACTTAACATTATCAATTTTCTTTACGTAAAGAAATAGTTTAACGAATGGATATCTTTCGGGATAAAATCTTATGGAAATCAAACAAGTCGGAACAATCGTTTTTTTCTTTTCCATAACGTCAAAATTCTGAATAATGAGAACATCTTTGATTATTTCTATCATTTTTAATTCCCGTGTTGTATGTGTTAACTTTAGGTTGTCAGTTCAGTGTTCGACTTTAGTTATATTATCTCAGTAGTTTTAATTTTTATTCGAGTGTAAAATGTACCTTTGAATGTTGTACTTGTAAGTTTTTTACTTTTATTGAATGTATGATGATTGCAGGCTTGCCGGTATATTTCCTGCTAGTTTTAAGTACTACACAAAATCTATTATGTGTTTCATTATATGTTAAATTGGTCAGTTAACACCGTATTAGTTTGCATTGAATTAGTCTTAAAATAATTTAAGATAGGTTGATAAAAACTGAATATACGGGCTTCTAGTTTGTGTGCTCTTTCCACTAACGATATCACTAACCTTAAACAAACTTATATTATCTCATATACTTAAACTTTTGTTCTGCTCTGTCACAGTTAACGATGTTGTCACTTGTTTATTCGGGCTGGCACTTTCGGCTATATGGATAGATCAGATTTCCATGGATTCATCATTGTCTACCCATTACTAATAGTCGGGATTCTGTCGGTCAAGTTCACAACGTAGCTATATCTTTGGATCCTTTTCTCAAAGAAAGTCGTGTAGTACACACACAATAATACAGTAATGCAATTTGTAATGGTTTTTGGATGATACCTTTGTTGATATTTTTGACTGGATTTTGATCAATCTAAGTTAACATATGTGCATCCTATGCAAATTACCTCTATATAGTCATTGTCACGAGTTTTTCTATAATAGATGGGATGTGGGTAACAGTGGAATCGAAAATGTACATTTTAGCTGGATGTCCCTGGATCCAAGAGTTATTCTCTACTTCCGGACTCGGACTTAGCTTTTTTAGCTTCAAACACCTAACACGTTATCTATTTATCTGCTGAGTCTAGATAGCTACTCAGCTATGCAACTAAAATCTAATGTTTTTTTTTAAAAATCATATACGATCATTTTATGCAAATCTTACTTGTTTTGTTTAATGACTTTGACTCTTTTTAAAAAAAGTAAACTAAGTTGGTTATATGAACCGAAATATTGAAAATCATCATTTCAAATCTCGCTCAGTACTTCGTTTGGCAATTTTTTCGAAGTCTTTTACATATACAAAATGTTATGTTTCGGGATAAAATATCGAAGTTGTTCTCAATGTAATTAGAAAACATTGTTTCTGTGAGACATTTGTAAAGAGAGACGCGACATTACATGATATCACTTTTTTGCAAATTACATTGACATCCTTAAACGAATAGACAAAATCGAATGAATCCAGTGTGTTGTATTCATAAATTTAAATTATTTGATCTGAGAAATTATGATTAAGTGCTGAATTTTCCAAATAAGAATGGTTTTATGACTATATTATCAAATTATCTTTCATAATATCAGATGAAGTTGAACTTACTTAAAAATCCTTTCTGAAGGATGTAACCGAGAAGGCTGCATAGATGTTGGCGAAAATCTTGAGGAAGATGAAATATAAGTTTATTATCAATAGTGATCTTTAAGGACGTCCTTAACCATCGGGTTCCGTTATCCCAAGACCATACAGGCTCTTAAAAGTATACAATAATGTCTTTCTGCTTCTCATACTCGGTGTTATCGACTTTTCTCACTATTTGAATGTTAATTGGCTAACTGAAGATATACAGCCAGACAGAAGTCACGTCAATAGATACAAGGTACTGGTTTCATTCATCTTTGTCCAGTGATTAATAAAAGTCAAAAAGTGATATCATTGAATATTGCTTCTCTCTTTACAAATGTTCCACTCGCAATAACAATGTGTTTTCATGTGACTGTATTAAAAAATAACAACTTCCATATATTTATCTTGAAACATTATCTGGAATAACTACTTCAATGCACTTACAGTGACTGTTCAGAATTTAAAAAATATAGATATATGAATGATGAATATTAGTGGTAAGGTGATGGTTGGAGGTAGTCGACAGGAAACCCTGGACCCAGGTTTTGTGCTACTCTACACTCGTCAGCAAGGTCTGCCTGTAATCTTGAAGGGACGGAAACTCGCTGACGGATTCTATGCTATGTTACTCAGCTTCAAAGTCAGAGATGTTACAACTGAGCTCGCCGGGTAGCTACTGACCTCCTGTAAGAATGAGATGTATTTACAGCTGATTGATCACTAGGTAGATTGAAAAAGTATATCTTGCTGACACGTACCACATAGCATGAAATTTAGGTCCAGGGTTTCCTGTCGATTACTATTCAATTAGACTAGTGTTTAATAGAATTCGATCTGCATTAAGAAAGACTTGACATATATGACATTGGTCACTACTCAGTGATCAACCTATTGTAAAAACATGTTAAGTAATATTACCGACTAATAACATTGTTCTAGACTACTTAGGCAACGTTTTATGCTGTTCAGTTTTATTGTAAATGAATTTGTTAATTAATAAGTAGTAGTAATAATAACCTATTATAATGATGTCCACAAACAAAGATATTATTTTTCTACAGAGAAAAATTATCGTGTGATTAAGCATTCTGTTCTCTACCGGTTATATTTGTCAATCAAATGAAGTAAATCGTGCGATATGGTGTTGATACATCATCGTCACCTTTTGTTTTCAATTCATGTCTATGAATTTCTGATTATAAATATCTAATAGGTGTAAATATATACACAAGTTTATACTAGATTGAATCTTATCATAGTAACACAACTGAAATTTTCTGTTAGTTTATAAAATATTTCTTTTGTCTTGTGTTAATGTTTTGTTCAGTGTTACCGAATCCTATGCATTACACCATCTTTGTGTGTTTGTGACCGTGTGCATACACACTATATCTTTGTTTTTCTGAATTTTCACTCTAATTGTTTATATCATATAAATGCCTACACTTTTTTATGTAGAAAGAATTACTGCTATAACTTCCTTTTTGTGATTATCGTTGGTTGGATTGTTACTTCTCATGTGATATACACTGATCACGATAGCTTTTTTTGGTTTCCAAAAATATTTTCAGATAGTGAAACAGAAAAAACAAGTTTTATAGTTGATTAGTGAGATTTAGATTTTCAGTTACAGTTTTAAGTTATACGTCTAATAGCATGATTTAAAAATATCTACATCAACATAATTTGAAGCGGATCCAAATCGTCTACGATTTATTCTGAAAGCAAACTGAGTTTTAGATAAACATTGAATAATTATTGATACTAAAATTTTGGAAAGCATATTAGTCGAGATAATTCCTGTATTGATTACCAAAAGATTTCTTTCCTTTCATATAAACTGAGATGATCAAAAATTGACTTAATATGAACCTGCTATTAAATCCCGATGAGACTGGTGGATATTGAAAAAAAGTACTAATCATATCACCTTTTGATCTGCTTGAATTGCTGAGATTTCCGTTTGGACTTTAGAATGCGGCTCAAACCTTTCAGAGTTTTGTGAATAAGGCCACCAGAGGACTTGGTTCTGTTTTTTTAAAAATTAAATAGACGATATTTTAATCACCAGTTCCTTACCGAACAAATATTTCAAGTACCTCCTGACTTTATTTGAATTTTTTCAACTTTACGTAATAGTCATCAACTCCAATAAAAAAATTTTTGTGTTCCTACCTTAGATTTTCTAGGACATCACATTGACTCACACGAAACCGAATCTTTACGTGAAAAGGTTGCCACTATATTAAGCTACTCCTAACAAGATTCTAGTGAGAAGTTATGGCATTTTGTGGCTATGTTGGATTTCTATCGGCACTCGATACTTGAATGTAGAGCCATCCTAAAACCTCTGTCCAAACTGCTCAGAGGGAATAAAGAGGATTTCAATTTCTCTCAATAAGTGAAGACTACCTTTTGGGACGCGAAAACAACATTATCGAGTGCTCCTACGTTGAAACACCTAAAACTCACTCTACAACTCAGTTGGTCTTATAAATTGACGCATTAACAACTAAACGATGAAATCACATGTTTGATACTTTTAGAAATGCCTAAATTCTGCTCAAACACATCTTCAGGCCTTTAGTCATGATCTATCGACCGTTTATTTATCAGTTAAAAATTTTGGCCATTTTGTCTCAAGGTCACGATTTCACGATTCTAGCAGACCCCAAATGTGTGTGGTATTCATTTATTACCTCATCTGATAAGCACGTAAATCGCGTAATCAAGTGGCTAGATTTGACATGTCAGTTCACCACTGATATCACATCTGTCGAACGTAATAATAGATGCTTTATCTATAAGCGAAGTCAACATAATTATTCAACAAAGTGACATGGCTAAGCTCCAGCTAGATAATCCAAATTTGAGAGTCTGTATTGAATAGTCTAATTTAATCCTTAGGACCAATCCTACTCCATTTTGGGATTCTATCTTTGCGTTCCACCCAGTACCGCTTATTTGTGTCATAGTAACGGAGAAAATGTGCAGCGTCTCCATTCTCCATCACTCCCCTAGCATTCGGATCTCGGTGAATTTTGTAACAGATCGTTCCGTTTGGAAATAATGAATGTTGAGATTAGGTGTTTGAAGTTACTTGTACTACCAGCAAAGTAAGATTTACTGACACACAATTGTCTAACCAGATAAGTTTTAAACGTCTTCAGCAAATCACATGTCGACTATCCAAATCTCCCACATATACGTGTATAGACGTCGACTGTCTCACCAGATGTGGGATTGTATGTCCTTATAATGATACCTTTGCCGAAACTGTTGCTTCTGTGTTCTTGGATGAATAGATTTTCAACTTTGGTGTTAATTACACTATCACTACGGATTGCGGATCCAAGTTCCAATCGATATTGTTTCATGAGGTCACCCTTCCCCTAGGAGTCCATTAATTTACTACCATGGTCTACCGAGTATAGAATAGTTCAGTGGGAATATTCCACCTCCAATTAAAAAGCTCGCTAGTGTCACAACCTGATACGACAAAATGGAGTGATCCCTCACCATTAGCTCTCCTTGAACTCCGATGTACAATTAAAGAAGACAAGCTATACGACAGACAAACTAATATTCGACACAACATTAGTTTCATCCTTCTAGTTAATCAGTAAAGAGGACAAAAACCGATTGATCACGTTTCTCAATCACCTTGTTATAAGATATTCGGGAACTCTATCCATTTTACCCATGCATACACTCGTCACAAGCATTTCATTAAACATCTCAGTGCAATTATCTACTCACTGAAATCACCAACGGTTTGTACGTAACAAAAAAATATCCCATAATCGGAAAACAAGGCACTAAGGGAACTGCTTAATTGACCTATGCAAACCATATTTTTTTATGGCCAACGAACAGAAAAAGTAGCATTAAGATAGATAAACATGTCCTTCCTTCTGAACCACCGAGGTCTAATGGCATACCTCTTCAAGCCCATACCGTACAACTAGAAGTTAAAGGATAGTAACTAAACCCAATCGCTATGTAAGTTTTGTCGGCGAACCTATATTTGTATTATCTTCAGTATATGTTCAAGGCAAATTAATTTAGCATTGAATATTTACATGGCAACCATCAATACCTTCTTCGCATTGTCGATCCATCCATATGTTGTCACTTGTATTAGTTAAAACTTGTCTTTAAATACTGCTTTTACCTGGTTTTTATAGCCGAGTAAAACGATTTTTTGTTATCAATTTAAATATATTAGCCTCTGATTAAACACTAAATACACCAAACATCCTTAGATTATCGAATTCCGTTACAATTATTTATTTCTGGGAGACAGATTGGAATTTCTTTGGATTTGATACTTGAACCTGAAATTATTGTATTTTTACTATGGTTAGTTTTTATTGCCCCTTCGGATTACTTTATGATAAAAATGAGGTATAATGGTAATGATGTTAATAAATTATATGTCCTATTCGACTTCTTATGTACACTGTTGACAAGTATCATTAATAACAATGCTGATATAAAATTTAAATACAAAAGTAATTGATAAACGTAAATGTTTAACATTCGATAATTGGCAAATTTAACTAAATTTTATTAAACGCGATCCAACATTTATTATAATCAGACAAAAAAAGAAAACTCCAGAGATGTGGTGAATAAAGAAAGTGATGAACATTTATGCTCACACACCCTCATTAAAAGTAATCAAGTTAACGACTTTATGTGTACGTCATATCTCAAAGAGATTAGATTCCCTTGGGTTGTACCAAAATATCCCCAGAACTCCTTGCCTTCAGTATGAAGAATTTAATTCAAAAAAGTGACTGTATTGAAAGATAAATTTACCTGAAAGATATACGAAGAACATTGAATAAGCAGATAGGAAAATGTACTATTTCATTGATGGTACAATAGTACGTGAGGAATAAGTTTATGTGACTATAATACCATACGTCCTTTAAGGAAATAAATGTACGGATTGTCTATATGGATGGTCAATAAGTATGTTACATCATGACCTAGTGAATAGACGTATAAAATTTACGGAGCAAATGTATGTGAAAAAAAACACAACATGTTGGTATGATTAATTCATAATTGTGTGACAAAATCACTATGAATCGTTTATTGTTTTTTGGAGTACGAAAGCTCGATAAACCTCAGCAGATGAATCAAGAAGAATTTTAATATGACAAAAATTGATCTTTGGTACAGACAGAATGAATGTGAAGGCGATGCATTAGGCCAATCAGGAATCTGTCAAATGATAAGTACAAGCGATTGATCAAGAAATAACTTACATTTCCTGGGAATAAGACACAGCATTGGTTACATATATATATATATATATATATATATATTTATATATGATGCAGGTGCTTAATAAAACCGTAGTACATTATTTACTTTGTCTCCCTATTCTTTTTTTCTATATCTAGATGGCTAAGGATAAAAAGTCTCCAAATACTATTGGTAAGCTATATCCGTTATTATTATTATGTAGGTATGAATGCCAAGGTTGGACTTGGGATATAACAAATAATACACCTCTTATTATGGTTGCATTTGAAATAAGATTCTATTGACTTGGTATTGTTTTGCTTGTATCTTCCCATTGAGGTTTAAGGCTGCGATTAATCAGTCTGCTATTGGCATATGTGCATACTGTGTGTATGCCTCGATATTGCCTTAATTCACAAGCTTTTATACACAACGATGGATAGTGGCTAACAGTGGAATCCAGGACGCGCGTTTCGTCCTATCCGGGACTCGTCAGCTAGATGTACCTGCATCTCAGAGTTGACTCGAACTCAGTACCATTCTCTTCAAATGCCATCACGTTATCCACTTAGCTACTGAGTCCTGATAGCCACTTGCTGAGATGCAGGTACATCTAGCTGAAGAGTCCCAAATGGGACACAACGCGCGTCCTGAATTCCACTGCTAGCCACTATCCATCCTTGATTATATAAGATTCTATTGGTTACTTTCCCCAAAGCTTTTGATAGAATGTTTCTTTACAGTTATTTGTACACTAGGTTACTTTTTAACAAGTTTAGTCTGACAAACTTCTCATCACCGTTTTAAATTTTGTATACTTACTGTACTAGAAGCATTTAATAAAAGCATATTATCATCACATACATTGATGCATGGTATTGGCTGGTGTAGATATAGTTCTGAGGAAAGCTAGGAATGGTCAAACCAAAACATTGCATCAGTCCATGAAGTTGTTGATTATTAGACGGGGCGGTGTAGGCAAGTCTATACTACCTGTTTTGGGTCTGCATAATTTGCATAACCAATGATTAGAGACTAAATAAAATGTTTCAGAATCTTTAGCAATGGTGCAGTTGCATTTAATCTTTCTCCTCCCTTGGATTCTAAGTTTCTTTTTGATTTTGACAAGTTTTTTAACCTACTCCACAAATCTTTTTTTCCATCATGCCCATTTTGTGGTCGTAATTTTTTTTTACCATCAATAATACTATTTCCACTTATAGCACTCTCTGTACTTATGCGGTTTAGCAACTTCAATTGATGGAAATTTGTGCCAGTTTCTACATTATATATGAATGACTCACTAATTCTACCTAATTCATTATTTACAATAAATCAGACTGAATCATTTCTATATACTTTCTGTTTACTATGTTATACATTTAATACTACAGAGTGCATACCATGTATGGTCTAATGGTAAGGTGAGATATGTATTTGATTTTATTATAGCAAATGTTATTTTTTCAGAAGTGTGCACTTTATGAATAAATTTTCGGGTAGTTTGACTTCTTTTCGAGTTCTTTTATCTCTTGTAAATGGTCACTGATTTATATTAAACTAATAATAATTAAAATTGTAACGATACTATTAATAATATTAAACATAATAAACCGAACTCTTTTTTTATTGGGATCATTTGGAGAATACGATGAACTGTTTCTTTCCTATTAAAGTGTAACTACCGAATTCTTGCAATATTGATACCTTTCGAAATGAATTCTATGATTTTCAAATTGTTTGAGATTTATTTATGGTATGATGTCAGTTTGTAGATATTGAATTGTTTCATCTCATTTTAATAATTCTCTAAATATCGTATTTAATAATGCAAGTTTTCGAAAAAGAATGTTATCTTTGTTTAGTTGTTGAGCGAATTGTAACGAGTAGTTCAGTTTGAAAATGGTTTTCATCTTGGAATCAAAATCACTTTGAATATACATGCATTCTAGTGTCTTTTCTAAGAATAATTATCATTTAATAGTGGGTTAGCACTTTTTCCCATATTTTTATTTATAGCCTCAGCATTTGATCCTTTTAAACCGGACAGCGTGTGTCCTACTGTACTTCCAGAAAATTCATTGATTGGAGCAGATTTCGATGCTGTACGTTAAACTCTAAGTAACACATTGTAAATGTTGTTTTTTGATACTATTAGTTTTTATTGATTTCCCACTAGGTATTTTAATAATTTCATAGGAATAAGATTACCATAGTTTTTCTGGCATTTTATTAATCAAAGCTTGATCCATCTTCACAAATTGTATGCGTAATTGTAGCATAGATAAACCATTCGTTCTGATCCTGGAGACATTCTTTCTACATTTTTACTCCTAAAGTTTAATAAGGTTAACCGTTACAAATCGGGCTTTATGTGCAGTTAATCTGCTTACTATTTGTATCAAATACAATCAACATCGAACAGTCTACTTATTGAAGCTCATATACTAACACAAACTGACCACAGTTAATCATGAATATCTACAACGGAAAAGGCAAACTACTTCACAAATAAAAATTGTCTCTGTTAATATTATTAATAATATTTATTAGTATGAAATGCGAATTCGATTTATTTGAAATGCTTTATATAAAGAAATACTGTATGCAATATAAATAGATTATCATACATAAAACTTATCAGTTAAATTGCTAGTGGTAATTACTTTTCAAATTCACAAATAACAAATAGGTATTTGGACCTTCCAACGGTGAGCTATCGAACATGACTGATCCGTTTGGTAGTGATCCTTTTACACCTTCAAGTACCTCATTTATGATGAATACAGGTATGGTTAATAACAGAGAAATAAAGAATCATATGAATTCTGTAAAGAAGTCTCCACCACCTCGACCAAAAACTCAACCAACTCCTGGTAAATCTATGCGAGCTTTCAAAGTAGGTGTTGTTTTCTTGTTATTGACAATATTGTGACGTAAACATACAAGATTCTCTTTGTGTTGGTTTGTTCTTTTTTATTAATTTTTTTACTTTGTTTATCTCAAGGAGTAATGCCACGATGTATAAGGAGCTTTTTGATATTATTTAATCATAAAGTTTGTCTCCTATTTCTGATTGTTCAGTCCACTACTTATTTATAGCAGTTGTTTTCAGATGCTTCATATGCTCTAGTTAGTAACACCTGTCTAGTTGATGTTATTCGGTTGTGGAATTTGATTGAAGAACTGTCAGCATCAGGTTATACCAACATTAGTGTTAGAGATTTATATGTCTAGAAAACTCACTGCTTATGATTTTTGATATCTGTCTCACTTATGATATTCTTCCGAAACAAACTCAAAATTTCTGAATGCTCTTATTACAAATTAGTTTCTGAGTTGTCTTCTTTAAATGAAGGCTTCAAAAAGATAAACAGGTAAAAGAATACGAGAATATCTTCTATTGCTCAACAGAGTTAAATCTATGGTATAAAGTTTGCTATTATTTGATAGAATCCGAAATTCTCCTTTTTATGCACTGTGGATGAGATGTCCACCTGTCAATCAAAGTTCGGGTTTACTGAATACCAATCTTCTGTTTATTTTTATGGATGTGAAACATGTTTATTAGGGATAGATATTTATAGATTGCTAATACTTGACAATAGATGTCTTCGAAGCAGTGTTCGTGTTTTGGAAACACAAAGTAAGCAATGCCTAGGTTAGGCATAGACCACAAGTTCAAGATGTCGATTCGGTTGGTGGGGTAACGAATTCTCATCATCTGACGTGGTTGGGACATGTGTTACATATACCCAGCTACTGCCTACCTCGACGGGTGATGTTGTTTGGTGTAAGGGTGAGCTGGAAGAATCCGAGGGACGGTCAAACCAAAACACCGCATCACTCCATGAAGTCACTGACAATTGGACTGACTTGTGTGTTAACAGGTGTAAAATACCTGATTGAGGCCCACATGATTTTCGTAACTAGTGGTTAGAGACGTAGAATATTGTGGCTCATAATCGTTTACAATAGTTCAAGTGTATTCACTCTTCATCTTCACTTAGTTTCTGAATCATGGAATATCTTTGTACTACTTTGTTTTACATCTAATCTTTTATGCAATTACTGCTAATACTACCACCACTTTTAATAATCTGGGACTTGTTTTGATAGATTTATCTTTCTGTGATAATGTCGAAACTTGAGTCGACGCATGTATTTGTCAGGTTCAATGTTCCATTTTACTGACTGACACAGAAGTTTAGTACATATAACTTCCTTTATATGATTGTAAAGCGAAAAAATAAATATTTGTGCAGATCGACATGAATCTGTGTTAGTAATTAACATCGGTTTGGCGTCAGTCAGCCTGAATTAAAATTCAGGGCTGTAAAGAATTAAAGAGTTAATACAATAAGTAAGTTTAATGTTATCAGAATAAGGGGAAACTGTTGTATTTACTATGTCTTCCATATTCTTTGGGTTCAGTAGACGTTTAGTATTTTATACATCATTTAAATCACTACAAAGTATTACAATTAAGAAATCATAATATCTACATAATTCGAACAACCTCAATGATAGTTCCTAATTATTTGAAGATAATTTAAGAAAGGTAGAACATATGATAATACTTTGTAGATAGAATGAAAGCTTGTGACAAGAATTTCATAACTACACAATGAGATGGCATACAATAATTGTTCTTAGAATAATTCTAATATTTCCATCCATTAGTTGTCCCGATATATATATATATATATATATATATATATATATATATATATATATATATAATATTTTATTGATGTCACGAGCAGATTCATTTTAATGAGCTTCTGGAAACGTGAAAAAAAGGAGGCTGCTTTGTCCTAGTGTTACGGAACTCCTTGTCTGTAATCATCCGGGAGTCGAGTTTTGAACTTTCGGTATACACTGGTCTATCTCCAATTGATTCATTATGTTTCACCAATGTTTTTAGTGGATTCGATTTCCGGCTACGTAATATCATGAATTGACTTAATTTAAACTTGTTTACAGTTGGATCGTGGCTCACAGTGTTCAGTGGTCTAGTCTTTGCGTTTAATACCGAATGTTCTGTTTTCGATCCTCAGCCTTGTAGATGCTGACTGTTTTGTAGTACAATACTAGGACTAAATGCGTGTACAGTGCTTTAAGGCTTTCAGTGGTTTTCCAACTTAGATTGGTTCTCGATATCACCGAAATTGGACAAATTAACAATTCGCATGCTGATACTGAGTACTAATGATACTTTTATATTCCCTTATTTTATTTTTACAGTCTGTGGATGATAATTCTAATTTTCCTACTTCAGTTCATCCCGCTAACTTTGATGGAGATTTTACAGACTTTAATAATTCATCATCATTATCGTCAACAATGGCTACTATTCCATCAAGATATCGTAAACATTCAGTTAGTGGCGTTACTGGTGTTGGCGGTAGTAATTCAATTAATCAGAAATCAACATTCTCTCTAAAATCGAAACCTTCTGGTAAAAGTATAAAAAAGGATCCACAAAATTCCCCATCATCATCTTCACCATCATTAATAAATAAAATAAAGAATATGAAGTCTGCGAGTGGTGGCAGTGATGTTCCGTTATCTGATGAAGCAAGACTCTCATGGGCTATCATTGAAAGTCAACGTCTTGCACAAATCGAGGAAGAAGCTCGGAAACAAGAAGAAGCTGATCTCGAACTGGCACTTCGTCTAAGTAAACTAGATTCATCAAATCGACATTAAGAAACATAAAAAGAGTCGATTGCCACTTTTATTTCCATCTATGAAAACCTAGAAAATAACAGTCAAAAAACGTGTTGTCTTCTCATTCAATGATTTTATTACTCCATATTCATTTTTAATTTAGGTTGGGTTAACCGTTCAACTCCTTTTTCTTGCATATAAATACATGATTTTTTACGTACGAGACATACATCAATTTATTCGTTCTCTTTTTTTTGCTAATATGAATTAGAAAAAAATAAAATTATAGAAAGGAGAGCTAAAGAGAAAAAAAACATGAATTTGTTTTCTCGATGAGTACAAATTCTGTTGAATATAGAAGTTGTATTTACAGTATTGTACACTGATTAATGTAAATCATTGCGGTTACATAGATGATTTGTCATATGTGTTATTTTATCTGTTGAAATATGGAATGTATTTGAAATGTTTGCTTAATATGATAATAAAATAGAAAAGATTATGTTGTACACAACCAAATACATTTATATACTTATACAACGGTTACTTATAATAATATTATTAGTCTCTAGTTCCTTAAACTTCAAATTTTTACTATGAGTTATATAATTATTTATGAAACAAGGTTTGCATAACATTTAACTTCATTATTACACGCATATACTTTGATTAATAATTACTTATTCTATGGATTGATTAAGAACTGTTGCATTGAATATTGTAGTAACGTGGGTTTTCAGAATAAAACTAATTATCTACGTATCTAATTGTTTCATTAAACCTAACATTGGTTGCACTTTCGAGACTAACACAATTTTCAAATATCAGAGGGGAAATCGGGTCTTTTTCACTCATGTTGCGACATGTAGTTCTACATCTCAGCGCTTTATATCAATCAATGTAAATATGTTTTGTGTTTATTTTGGGTCCTTAATTTGTTAACATCATGTCATCGAGTCGGATATTGCAGTTAGTTGTAACATTTTTCAAAAAGTAGGTACACTCGATCACAAAACATCAGGTTTCATTGTTCATGCACCAACCTTAATAGGTGACTACATGGTTGGCTTACAAAAATTCAGCACAACCGTTATTTTTGCTTCAGTTCATTATTCGAAACCATCCACATAGTATGGTTCTCAAATGGTATGTCTCAATACTCCGAGACTGTTAGCTATAGATATTAATATTGGTAATTTACAACGGAAGACCTATTGGTTTGTTGCACTGATGGATTGGATTATCTTTCAAGCTTCGCAAAAGTTTTATGATGTATAGGTTATTGACACATGTACAAATTGTTTGCTGCATCTAACTATATAGCTTCCTACAGGTACAACATGTTAAAGATTATTTTGTTTTGGATGGAATTCTGTTTTTAACTCAATAATTCATTAAATGCATACTTTTCGCGATCCCCGTGTAATGTCTTAATTTCATGTGCATTTGGAGTTTTTTGCGAGTTATTAGAATTATCTAATCTGACAAACATATTTACTTTTTTTATCTAAATTACGGAACGAATAAATGCTTTCCAAGATGGACCAGTAAAGTTAATTACTCCATTAGAATTACATGTGTTTATGGTCGAAAAGGCCTAACGACCAATATACCATTATTTAGTGAAAACGCAGTTCATCCGACTTAGTCGGATACCCATGTGAAGAATTTGCCAGTCATTCATAAAAAACTATATCGTGACACGGACTTCGTGCTTAATATTAGTGCTTCTGATGTAAAAATAAGTATACTGAATGCGAACATATGATACTAAACAAAAAAGCTTGCGCCATGTTGTCAAATGTTACTGTTGCACGAAGTAGCAAACTAAACACAAAAATGGCTAATGAATTGCTAACATATCAAGGAAGCAATGCAGAATTTCTTAACAAAGGATTTGTAGCGGTAAATAAATCCCCAAAATAAATAGCACTAAGTTTTCGACATTGGATGCTGACCATATGTTTTAGTGGACTCATCTAGCTGAAGGCGCTCGGTCAGGCATCCGCACCAGATCACGTGTGGTAACGCCGTGCTCAACATCAACCGCAATCGCTAGCCAGATTAGATCAGAGAATTCCGATATATTGGTCATCGCCAAATATACTCTTCCGATCTCCTCGACTCTGTCTTTTGATTTCTCTGGGCGGGAACGAAATATATCAGAAGGTGTTACTGGTAGAAGCGTTGTCAAACACTGAATACCTGTGACATCATCAGATTCGAATGGCAGTTCCTAGCTGGCAGCGAAAAGACAACAATTTCCAGTCTCTGCGTGTTGTAATATCGAGTTTATTTGAACTAGGTATTACTTTCAATGGCTCGAGATCATACAGCAATAAAAATTCCCAATTTCAACTGAATCAATGTATAAAGCCCAGATCAAAGAACATTAAGCGCCACAAAATAGTTTTTTCATGAGTTATGGAAAAAAGAATAAGATACAATGCACGAAGAAAGACTGACTAATATAACGTTCATGGAAAGAAATTGAGTAGGTCTTCAGAGAATTCCTTCTTCTACCGAATGTGTATAGATGAATGTAAGATGTATTTACGTTTCGCGGAAATGTTTATAGACATCTCGACATATGAGTGATCAAAAACCGTAGATGGTATTTGCGATTCTTGAACACTGTCATTTAGTAAAATGTGTAATCCCAGTAAAATATTGAGTCTTGTGTCTGAATTTATTTATTATCACCAACAATGTTGTTTACGATTAACGTTATGGTGAATACTCTGGGTTTTTTATGGTTTTGCAAGTCTCATTAAACTACTTCAGATTTTCAAATAATTGATATTATAGATTTAGGTTAACCAGGCCTTTCTTTTTGCATTTAAACTTAGGAATAAGACCGGATTTTGAGGCTCGTTTCGCATATACTTCAAATTTGTTTAAACCCTTTGAAGTTAAAGAGGAATAGACAACGTTATGGCACTCTACTGGAAACTGACCTAATTTTTTGAAATCATTTGAAAACGTTGTATGTAACTTGATTACAATTGACTTTCCAGTTAATTATTTTCCGATCATTTAGGGTGTGAGTTCTCCTACGGACAATAGTGTTTCAAGCCGTAAGCCTTGCGCTTGTTTGGAATGATTTTACCGAAACTGTTCAGCTGTTAATCTCAGTTTAAGAACCAAGTTAGCATAAATTATGTACCTTTCGAATACTCCCAGTACTACTTTGTAAAATCAGTACCTAACGGGTCATTTCTAAACTGATTTTTCGTGGTGTTAGCCATCCCTAACGGTATAAAAATATATTAGGAAATCTTTTGGTGTTATCTTGTCGTTTTTTAGTTCGCAGTGTTTGGAAAACGTTTGTAGTGCAGATATGCTAAAGGACTGATCTGAATGTTTCAGCTGCCTGGCGTTCATTGTTTAAAGTTTAGGATACACCAATATTCTACTCATTAGATTGGTGCATTGTTACACCATGGTATTTGTACGAACTAATGATTCCTTTGCATTTGATTACCCGCTTATAACGAATTCCAAATACAATACGTCCGTTTGCGTTCATTCGTTTCTGACAGGCTTAAATGGTACTGTTTAGGGAAATACTAGTTATTACAATAATTCGAATACTTCCAGTTATGATGAACATATTCAGTATTACGTCACAATTTATTCCTGGTTCAGTGATTTCGCAATGGCTGTATATGCTTCTCTTGTATATTTAGAACGTCACGAGTGAGATGTTGAACTTTCAACACCTTGTCATTCTACAAGCCTAACTTTGTGCTACGTGTCCGTAGTTGTTTGATGTTTTCTGTTAATGAATGTTCACATGCTCAAAAATAATGAACGGCTTACGGGATAATATCATATGATGGTCGAAATAAGTCGGCAATTTGAAAAAATTACATTTCATAATAGATCAGTTTGGCTAGTGAAATTTCGAACATGTCATTAAATATATTCGGGGTGATCTTATCCGCAACGCAACCATGTAAACTTAATGTATCGCACACTGTCATTTGTGCGTTCAAGTAACCACAGATTTTGTCAT